AAGCTAGACTATTTCAGTTGTACTCGAGATCGTTTGTATAACAAAGGCTAGTTAAGTTTTTCAAGCCTGTCAAATTTTTGGAATTGGTTCACAACATTCTGGCCTCAAGTTCTGGTGTCATATATATATGATAATGCTTGCTGAAACACAAGACAGTTTCACAGTTTTGTTCACTTTGGATTTATTATGTCACTAGATAACCTTTCACCTTAATATGGCCAATTACCTTTTGGTGAATTCTGTTCCAAATTCAACTAGAGAGAAAAGGTTTACGGAAAAGATGCTTTTTATAGAATTATATATTTCATATTAATCTCGAAGTGATTATTTATGCTAGACGTTTTTGCGGAAAATTTTGCTTAAATGAGAGATGAAATTCATTGTATAGCGAGCGGATTTGGCAGTTTTTCATACAAGCGTTCTAACATCCTGTTTGTCTCAGATTTTTCAAGGTGAAGATCATGTTAAAGGAGGTCACGATCATGCTTTAATGATCCAAGTGATAGACCTTGAATCAATGAAAACTTAAAGGAATATCTCTAGACAATTTCCCACGGAAAATGTACATGTAGATTATATCTTAACTAAAGTTTTTCTCGACTGATGTGTAGGCCCTGTTTTTTTCTTATAACGGTCGCCAGCGTTATTTCCGTTTCCGTTTTTTCGTTTCGTCTTAAAAAAAACTGGAAAGAGTAAAACGTTTTGGAAGAAAAGTTTTTCAATTGATTTTCCAAATGAAAAGTAGCAGGTTGTCAATTTTGCTGGATCGTTTTGGTCAACCTGTGACTTAATACCTGCTATCACGCTCTACGATTCCTTTGACTTACAGCGCACTGTCCGGTAAAAGCAGATTTAGAAATAAGTTTATTTTTATCATCTCACTCATAGCCTGAGTGCTCTCGTATCAGAATGAGGTAATCAATTCATAACCAAGGCATACATCTTCCAAGCATTTCAAACATTTTTTTCTGCTGTCATACTCTCCTGATTCCATTGTGAGGGCAGATAAGTGAACTTCAGTTCCACACGACCTCTGCTCTTTGATGGCAGAATCAAGTTATTGTTTAAAAACCATATTTCTTTCTTGTATTTCAATGTTATTCCTCTGCTGTCTCCCAGCTTGATTTGATTGTCTCACAGCAGATTTAGCAATGAGTTGTTATCCAGCCAATTAGAGAACGACCAGAATTCCATTACAAGACCGCACAGCAATTTTCCTGGAATGATAGTTTGCTTTAAATAGAGAACAAATTAGAACGTAAAGGGAGAAAATCAACGGAGCTTTCTCTTCTGTCAGTACAAGTAAGTTCCGTAGTTTGTTACTTAGCAGTTTTTTCGAAGCGATTAACTATTGGATATATTTTGTCGATCAGATTTCGGCCATAACCATATCAAAGAAAAAGGAAACGTTTAGTACAAAACATTGCCTTCGGCAAAGGTTTATTGTAGACTGTTCATCGCATGGTATTCTTAATAGTGGATTCACCACCAAATATTAAGCTAATTTATATATCGTAATGCGAACTCCCGATAAAATCCAAGCAACGCTTGGGAATTTTGTACCAGCAGCCCACTTGGATTGCTCTACACAAGCTTTCTTGGTGGAGTATCCGAAGAGCTAGATTCGTTTGAAGTTACTCATATTCTTCAATTTTATTGTTTTCTGTTTTGAGGCATGTCTGGAAGAAGAGGTTTTTGTCTTGTTTTGACTGGGCTTGTACTCTTGCTATTAGAGTTATCATCGGCTAAAGACGGTAGGTTATTCGTTAGTAAAAGCCAACCAAGTCTATCTTGCATCTTTTATCTTCAGTATCGTCAGAATCTTAGAAAGATAACTGCTCTAATAAAGTAAATATTCAAATTAGTAACAAATCTCCCATTAGAGGCCATTACTTCTCACTTTCTTCCTTCTTTTATCCAGTTTTAAAATAATCGTTTTCATCCACTTTTTACAATATTTGTTGCGTTTTCAAAATCCCGGTGTACCCCCAGCCTAAATTTCAGAAGGTTACTGAAAATAGAACTTAGCTCAATGCTCTCATTCCACCCCTTGCGTCACTGAAGATAAAAGCAAATTGTTTAAGTCATGCCAAATGTACACGTAGTGGTAAACTGTGCATTATTACGGTCGTTTCTTTATAGTGGTATCCTTTCATCATATTACATTGTATCTTGACATTTATTGCAGATTGTCAGAAATTATTAGACTTTGAGGGGAAATCACAGGAAAACTGCCTGAGACGTATACCAG